CAGGGCGGCTGGGCGCACCCTTAGAGATAGGGTGAGGAGCTCGATCACCCGGGAGGAGCTCAGAGTAGAACCACTGCTCCTCCACATCGAGAGGAGTCAGCTGAGGTGGCTCGGGCATCGGTTTCGGATGCCTCCTGGGCGCCTTCCTAGGGAGGTGTTCCAGGCATGTCCCACCGGGAGGAGGCCCCGTGCTAGAGGAAGTGTCTGGAGAGAGGGAAGTCTTGGCATCTTTGCTTAGACTGCTGCCCCCGTGACCCGGTCCCGGATAAGCGGAGGAAAATGGATGGATGAATGGATTTAGGAGAGGCAGTGTAATTTGTCCCCCTGCCCCACCATGTAAGCAGTGCACCCCCATTTCTACCAGCCATGTCATGTGACATGGTAGCAGCAAGTGGGGGAAAGACAACACTGGTGTTACAATATGGAAGCATGTTGTATTCACCAAAGAAAAACAGTCTTATCTCATAATTATGACTTACTATTTCATAATTATAATTACGTTCCAAAATATAAATATAGACTACAAACGGACCTCAGAGTTACCTACAGTGTAACTCGCTAGGTTACGTGTACTGAGCAGGAGTTGGAAAGCTTCAGAACCTAGTTGAGAAATATTGGGTTTTTAAAACACGCCGAAGCTGCAGCCCACAGTAACTTATCTATGGCAGCATTAGAGCCTACTAGCTGATTCTTGGAAAAGTATGACCTGTGCACATGACTGACCTTTTACCGTTTAATGTGACATTTTCCAAAATACAATGCAAAAAAATGTATATTTAAGCTCATAATTATTATAGAGATAGCACAATAGTCTGTAGGATCTAGGATACTGGCTCTAGACAGCTTAGTACCATTTGGTATGGCCTATATGGTTGTCTCAGCCATGTCATCTATTCAGAATGATTTAACTGTGTTGCACTCAGGTCTACTGAGACATGCATCAGTGGATACCTGTTGCCAGCAATTGGCATTGGCATTTCTTCTTGAATTTATAGCTATGGTTGTTGAGCATTCATTTCATCTTCCGTCTTACTCCTCTTCTTCTTTCAGGCCCTTCCTGCCATCACCTCTTTTTATCATCCTCTTCTGTTTTCTCACCTCTCTCCATGTCTGCTCTCACAAAGATTCATGCATTAAAGCCCCACCTCTACCTCTTGAATACCAACCCAACTCCAGCATTCTTTGAGAACAGAGGGGGAAATAATCTGTTTTGGAAGCACCACTTTTCAGCTGATGGGGAACACTGACAAACCAGTCACTCAGCCCTTCATGTGCACTGCTCTGAACCTTGCCACCTACCATGAAGAAGAGCAATCTTTTTTACTCTCTCTTGCAGAGCCTCCAATCAATACCATTCCAGCAGCCAAAGCTCTGATTACCCATGTACAGTGCAGCATTAGCCTCAGTGCCTCCAGTGAGCCATACTGGCCATAAAGATGAATAACGGCTGACTTCGCTACCATGGTAACCCCTCCAGAGCTCTTACCACTTTTTCTCTAGTTGCCATTCTCCCCCATAGTCTGCTTTGTATGCTGTGGTGCAGCAGAACCAGGATTACAAAGCAGGGCAGGGAAGTTGCTGGAATTTTCCAAGCAAATCAACAGTAAACATGTTGCATACGCCCTGTGCTGCAGGTGGTCATAGGAACATTTGTTGTAAGCACTTTCATAGAGTTCTACGAATTTAACTCTTGTAAAGTTTAAAAGGGACACTTTTAATACAGCAAATAATGAGTTGTTGAAATCTAGAAACTTAAATCATTGGAAAGGAAAGGATAATATTTGAGGAAATCTACAGGAAACATGGACTGGACCAGTGAAGGGCATTTTACAGTTACAGTCTTGTTAGGAAGCAAGTCCCATGACTTCAACATCACTACCATGTCTTCCAACTTGTAATTTGATTAATAGTGCTTACCTGTTCTATAAATTCTGTTCCTCTTAGTGTGACCTGATCTAGCCTGTGATGATGGCTGTGTCAGTTAGAGCAGTTTGCAAAAATAACAAGGCTGTATTTTGGGCTAGTGAGTAGATAAGTCTCCGTGATGATGTGTAAAATCCCAGACAGCCGGTAGTCTCATTTAGCCACTTGTTAGTAAGCATAAGGATAACCATGTTTATTGGCCAAGTATGTTACACCCAAAGAATTTGTTTCTGGTACAGAACCAAGGCAGCCATCTGCGGTGCCAACTCAACCGATGGCTCTAACCATTGGGGGCAACTTGGGGGTTCAGTGTCTTGCCCAAGACACTTCGACACCTGGACTGCAGGCACCGAGATTCAAACCTCCGGTTGGGAGTCGACTGCTCTACCCACTGAACCACAGTCGCCACAACCACAGTAACCACCTTTCGTTCAAGTATTAAAATCATGAATGGGGTATTTACTGGTGTATTTATATCATAGAACAAAGCAAAACTTGAAAATGTATTGGCTTTGTGTTCACTACAGACCTTCATTCAGGCGTCTCATCAAACAGCCATTCAAAAATCCCACAGACTTCAGGGCGGGGGAAACCACAAGTGCAAAAATACTAACTCAGTGGTGGATTTCAGGACTCACTACTATGGCACTCTATATCTTTGATAAAATGCTGTAAATGGTATACTTTTGTGGACTGCTGATACTAGCATGTGAGGCGCGCTAGCTTCCTCAGGTTATGCTTACAACCCCACCCAGGCTGCTACTTGCATCTCTGCTTTTCCCACACCATGCAAGTGGATTTACTGTATGTGTGACACCTTTACAATTGCTTGCACACTGTAGCGCCGTCCATGATCAACCTAAGAGGTCTGATCAGCCAGATAAGTGCAGGTGTACAGAGCCTTAAAGAATAAACACAAATGGTTTTGTTTCAAGCATGGTGATGATTATGATGAGTATGAGACTTTTTCTTGTGTTCTACTAAAAAAGCATAAATACATAAATTTACAATTATTACAAGTGATGATTGTGTTAGGGTTAGGTTTAGTGTTAGGAGGAGGGTTCGGTTTAGGCAAGTTGTGATTATGGTTATAGTTAGGGTAAGTTGCTAAGAAATGAATGTGAAGTCAGAGTAATGTTCCCTGAAATGGTGGAAATGCGACTCTGCGTATGTGTTTGTTCTTGTACTTGCTATATATAGAGGACCAAAAAAGGTATCTGTGGAAAGTGAGGACATTTTGCCCGGTCCTCACTTTGTGAAACACCTTTTGGAGGGTTAAGACTTGGTTTTAGGGTTCAGGTTAGAGTTAGGTTTAAGTTGGGTGTTAGGGGAACGGTGATACTTAGAAATTTAGTTTTGGTGGTTTGAGGTTAGGCTAAGGAAAGCATTATGTCAATGAGTGTCATGCTCACTTGCGTCATTAGATTCTCTGACTGGTTCTGTGGCCTGGCTTCAGTTTCTTGGTGATTACAATTTGTTTCTTCTCTTTCTGTGTTTCAGTTGAAAGAGAAATGGTTCAGAAGAGGACCTTCACCCGATGGATGAATCTACATTTAGAAAAGGTTTGTGCATAACTTAATGAAATGGTGGCAGCAGAAAATACACAAAGAGAAGAAAGTGTAATTATGGTTTCAGGACTCAGTTATTACAGAGCTGTCTGCTGAGCTTTCCTTTACTACCTTTACAACAATTTATTTTATTGCCACTCCAAAAGCTCCACCTTCACCACAGACTGTATCATGAAGTACAGATCATGACCTTGCTCACTGAACGGGTCATACACAACAGCTGAAACAGATGCTGTACAAGACAATAGTTACAGTTTCCCTAAATTATACATGTCCTTGTGTGGAACTGCCTGTGTGCAGCATTAAAGTTTCATTAGGTTGTGAAGTGTTAATCTGAGAGAAGAATTACTGGTGCAGCAAGCTCACCGTGGTTGTTTTACTCACTGCATCGCCCTGCTAGCTGTGTTATGTAAACAGCGGACCAAATAGAGGAGAAATAATAAGAAAATGAGAATCTCCCCAGGGCCCTCGTTGTGGACTTCAGCTCAGCGTTCAACACCATCATCCCAGACGTCCTCTGCTCTAAACCTACCCAGCTCACTGTGCCTGCCCCCACCTGTCAGTGCATCACCAGCTTTTAATTTTTATTTTTTTATTGAAACAAAGTAACAGATTAACAACACAGTACTGAACATGGGAGACAAGACAACAGATACATGACATTACAAAAAGATATAGAATGTTTAACAAGATTGTAGTGTGTGAAGTGTGGGTATTTCCAACTTATGCAGTCTATGAAATGCAAAAAAGGGAAAACGAGGGAAAACAAATAAATAAATAAAAAATTACCAATAATGATCATATGTAACAGTACTACTAATTAAAGCAGCTTGTTACATTTTTAGAGGTTGGTGGGAATGTGCGTGGCCTCAGCCCCAGGTGTTTGGTTCAAGTTGAAATGTGTTAAAAATGGGTTCCATGTGTCATAAAAAAGCTGATCTATAAACTTGCGATCCATAGCAGTAGTGCTGGCGCACCAGACAGTGATGCAGCTGGTCAAGATGCTCTCAATGATGCAGCTGTAGAAGTTGCAAAGGATCCTAGGCGACATGCCAATCCTCCTCAGCCTCCTCAGGAAGTACAGCCGAGGCTGAGGTGGTTTGGCATGTCACCTAGGATCCTTTCCAACTTCTACAGCTGCATCATTGAGAGCATCTTGACCAGCTACATCACTGTCTGGTATGGCAGCACAACTGCTATGGACTGCAAGCGCCTGCTGAGTGTAGTAAAGACTGCAGAGAAGATCACCAGGACTCCACTGCCCTCTCTGCAGAGCATTTACCACCACAGGGTGCGTAGGAAGGCTTGTATAAGTTGTAAGTTTACATTGCTGGTCATAGAAAAGATGTTATTGCAAATTTCTGTCTATAAGTTGGAGTTGAGGGGGAGAGTTAAATCGTTTTCCCAGTTGAGTTTTGGTATTGTTATTGTTGAATCTGTATTTGATATGAGTTTATATAGCTTTGATATTATTTTCTTGGAGGATGTAATTTTCATAATCTCTTCAATTAATTTGGAAGGTTGTAGTGGATTATTGGTTACACTAATCTTTGACTTAATTATGGATTTTAGTTGATTGTACTGGAGGAACTGTTCTCTCTGAACTTTGTACTTCTGGATCAGTGTATTAAATGATATGAACTGGTTATTTTCAAATAGGTGATGTAAGTGAGTGCCCACCTGTTTTATCTGTGTGTGTGTGTTAGTGTGGATGTGTGCATAACAGTACAGAAGAACATAGGCAAGTATACATTTCCACATGGTGTGATGAACAAACAAAAACACAGGCAGAATAACAGAATAAAAAGAGGGTCACCAATGCAAGGGATGGTTGTAGGAGTCTGTGTGGGATAGGGGTTGCTCTGTGTATGGATGTAAGGGACCAGGGTGATGAAAGGGACTGAATTATTTAACATGTAGCAGTCACTAGTTGGTAGGTAGTCTGTAAAAAATCAGAAGAGCCACGGGGTAATGTTCGAGTCGCGATAGAGCTGTCCTTCAATGTATAATTTGTCCGCAATGATATTTGCATGTTTGATGTTCTGCCTGTGTTGTTTCATAATTGGGTAGAGGATTTTCTGTCGTTCGTTTATTTCATGTGGGAATTGATCATTGAGTCCGAAGTTTGTGTCTTTCAGTCCCTTTCTTTTACTTTTAATTAGTTCTTTGTGTTTGTAGTGTTCCAGTTTCACTATTATTGGTCGGGGTGTTTTGTTGGAACGTGGACCAAGGCGGTGTACACGGTGAAAGGTGATCTTTTGAGTTGGTGAAATTTTGAGTTGGTTTTTCATGAAGTCTTTAACCAGTGGTTCAGGGTTGTCGGGTGATTGTTCTGGAATGCCAGAAAAGATCAGGTTGTCTTGCCTGTTTCTGGTTTGAATGTCCAGTATTGTTTCTTTAATTATTCTGTTTTCTTTCATGAGTCCATTTTGTTACTGAGGGTTTTGATGGATGCTTGGAGAGAGTTGTTCGATTGCTCTAACTTTACAATGTAGTTGTGGGCGAATTCAAGGTTTGACCAGAGTTCTTTTATTTCCTCATGAAATGTGACCAGTAAGTCGAGTTTTTTTATTGATGGATGCAAGAACACTGACCTCCATGTTTGTTGTCTGTAGATCACTTGAATCTGTAGAAGAGGTCTTTTTCCATTTGTTTGGTTTTGGCGTGTCTTGCTGGTTTGCACTGGCAGTATCCATACTGCAGTGAATGTAGTATTGGTCGATGAATGATTCTAGGTCCGATAAATCCTTCAGTATGTGAAAGATACATTGCAGTTATTGGCAGTAACTTGCGATTCCGATGGATTGCTTGTTTAATACCAGTAGTGGGTTATAAAGTCCGAAAAAATAGCTAGCAAAATTTTGTTTAGACTCAGTGACTGTGTATTGCCATATTGAATACCCCGTGCAGTCTCACGATCTTGCAATACTCAGTACATCATCCTCCCATCTGGAGCTAATGTCTCAGATCTCACCAGCATCACCAGCTTTCTGACAGACAGGAAGCAGCAGGTGAGGCTGTGTTAGGTCCTCTGCCAGTGCTCCCTCTCTCTCTCTCGCACAGGCAGAGAGGACGAGTGGCAGGGCGTACTGGGAGATAAGCCGCACAGCTGCTCGCAATCGTCTCATCAGCCAGACACTGCTTAACCTGGGTGCTGCCGTCTTCCCCTTGCCAGTCTGTTCCATACACACCGAATATTTCATGGCCCACGTTACCTTGATAATCACTGTGACTAACTTTTGCCAGTACGTGCTGTCCAAGCACCAGCTATCTGTTTACCTGCCTGTTCCTCTTTACTCTTCATCGCTACCTGAGCTCCAGTCCTGTGTACTTCCTTGTCACTGCCTGGCCTCCTGTTTTCCTCCTGTTCCCTGTCGCAGAGTGTTTTATCTCCAACCTGTGTCACTCACCTGTGAACTTCCTCATCTCTGTCTGGGCTCCTGTCCGACACCTACTCCCCAGTATCCTCCAGCTAAGCCTCGTCCATTTTATCTGCACTAACAACAATAAAACTACCCTGAATCCAAGTCCTGCCCATTGAGTCCGCAACGCAGTTTTGAACAAGGCTTACCAGCCCCTTAACAGGTTGAAGAAAACCACAGCCAGCACCCAGACTATCAGCACTCAGAGGACCCTTCTGTTAAACTCCTGAAGTTCACAGATGACACAACAGTCATTGGCCTACAGATATAAGGTTGAACAACTGACCCTGTGGTGCAGTCACAACACCCTGGAGCTGAACACCCTCAAAACAGTGGAGATGACAGTGGACTTCAGGAGGAGCCCCCCACCCTACCCCCTTTTACCATACTCCACAGCAGTGCTGCTGTGCTCCCTCAAGTTCCTGGGCTCCACTAATTCCCAGGACCAGGACCCAGAACATCATCACCAAAAAGGCACAGCAGAGGGTGTACTTCCTACGTCAACTCAGGAAGTTCGACCTGCCCCAGGAGCTGCTGATACAGTTCTACAGAGGAATCATCGAGTCAGTTCTCTGCACCTCCATCACTGTCTGGTTTGGCTCAGCAACCAAACAGGACAGGAACAGACTCCAGTGGACAGTCAGGACTGCAGAAAGAACCATCGGTGCCAGCCTGCCCTCCATGGAGGACCTGTACACCTCACGGGTCAAAAGGAGGACAGATGATTTCTGCAGACCCCTCACACCCTGGACCCTGTTTGAACTCCGCCCCTCTTGGTGGCATACAATGACCTGTAGCGCCACCCAAACAACCAAACACAAGAACAGTTTCTTCCCCCACACCATCACTCTGATTAACACTGAACCCATGAAGGTATAACAGAACGACATCCCTCGGTGCAATGCCTGTAAATATACCTCTGTAAAACTAAACTGTGTGTATATATATTTCTATATTAATAAGTATTTTATCTTTACTTTCCAACGTACATTCCTTTTTGTTTGCACATTCATTTATTCTTCTTGTCCTCTCAGTCTTATCTTGTTTACTTACATGTTGCCTTAAGGAAGAGCATTGTACATACACACTGAGAGCCACTGTACCAGAGTCAAATTCCTTGTGTGCCCAACACACCTGGCCAATAAAGCTGAATCTTTATTCTGATTGTTGGTGAATGGGACTCGAAACTAGCCCAGGCAGCAGGTGTATCAAAGAACTCACAACTTAACCCTGAACTGTGAGTTGACCAACACCTGACATGGAAGTTCAAGCTGATCAGAGTCAGTTCATGCAGCTGTGAGTATATTCAGTCTGATTTAAGCTTTTGTGTGATCGCTATAAAAGTCATCATCTATGGAGCTGCAATACTATGACTCACCACATACATAAGTAAATAAAGAGCAGAGCCACCATTTTCATTCAGTGGAGTTTAAATACTGTATTACTGTGTGACATAAATGTGATTTTATCTTAAAAACATACAGCAGTGAAGAAGCCTGAGATGGAAAACTAATCAGTTAATAGGCCTTTCATTGCTACTACAAAGTAGGTCTGGCTGAAAAGTATGTCAAGCATATCAGTTAAGCATTTCGCTTCCTTCTCTCACTTATGTGCAGCCTACTGACCCCTTCTCAGGCTTTGTCTTCAACATGCCTCTGCACTGCTATGCGACTCTGGTACACTCGCCTCAAGTGACTGCACAATGAAATGCAAGCAATATCTTCACACTCTGCCATAGTTACTATACACCTGTGTATTTAGACCTGCTGAGCTTGAGCAGTGCCTAACGTCATGGTATTTGCACTGACAGGCTGCGTTTCTGTGGAATCTCTTGACCTTTTCTTTTGTTTTTTTGTTTTCTGTTCCAAAGCAGGGGTGAGTCAGGGTGAGCTGAGAGTCTGAGCGTCTGATCAAGTCTTTTGTTTTCTCTCACAATGAGCTCCTCTTCTATTTACTGTTTGGCCCTGCATCAAATCTCTGACCCACTAACTGACAATCATATATTTGTCTTCTTGGAAATTTCTGGTCACTTCACCCCCCACCACCCCACCACCTTCATGTCACCATTCAGTCATTCACCATGTTCAAAACAAATCACAAAGTGAACAACTTATTGTGATATCAGGGATAAATGTTAACTCATGCATAACATGCTGTGAGTTTGATTGATTTTTAAAGATAAATGTGTATACATTAACAGTCAAAAGTTTGGACACACTTTCCCATCCAGTTCAACTGGAAAGTGAATCCAAAAACAAATCAATCAAACTCACAGCATGTTCTGCATGAGTTAACATTGTGCAGCTGGGCATTTGATTTCACTTACGTTTCCCTGTAATAACGCCTCCACATTACTGTATGTTCTTGGAATTACTGAAAGTGTACAGCTTGGTGTTTTGATTTCTCTGCAGAAGTAATTTGAAGTGCTGTATGAAGAGCTGTTCACTGCCACCCAGTGTGTTGAAGGGTGGCACAGATTCATGGTTTTGATTTGGTTGCTGGCACTGTTTAGCATCTCTGCTGAACACATTACTGGAAAAGTTACATAACCTCCAGATTGCCCCACTTCCTGACACCTAAAAGCCTATTTGAATATCTTTAAGACCCCATTAGCGATTGGCTAATCACAGAGGTTTCAGTAGAAATAGATAATAATAATCTTGATGGCATAACTGTTCACAACTACTCCACATAGAGCACTGAGATATACTGTACCCTCAGGACTTTGCACCCCTGTTAATCAGGCATTTAGACTGAGTATGGTAACATGCAACTCCCTGCTAGCTATATTTTTAAGCAAGGGGCTACATTGGATGGGAGGGTGAGGAGTTGCAGGGGGAGCGTTGTAAGCATGTATGATATGGCCACATTGTAAAGAGTCGATGTGATTGGCTTCATTCACATTTCCAGCCCATGTGTTTCCAGTGTGTTTTGGTTAGCCATGCTGCTATCATAGACTGCTTTACCTTAGCACCAATTTCTACCACCAATGTTTTGGCACTGACAGATAAAAACAACTGTTTAAAACTGCATTAACTAAGATTTAGCACAAATACGAACAAATCAATCAACAATTCATCTAGAAGTGTTTTCTCCCTGTTGTACAAACCCTCCATCAGGGAACTGAATGACTACAGACATGTCACTTTGACATCTGTAATTATGAAGTGCTTTGAGAGACTGGTCTTGGCCCAACTGAAGGACATCACACATCCCCGGCTCCACTCCCTGCAGTTTGCCTACAAAGCAAATAGGTCAGTGGATGATGCAGTCAACATGGCACTGTATTACATCCTGCAACATCTTGACTCTGTAGGGGCCTATGCTCAGATCCTATTTGTGGACTTCAGCTCAGCGTTCAACACCATCAACCCAGACATCCTCCACTCCAAACTGACCCAGCTCACTGTGCCTGCCCCCTGTCAGTGGATCAATAGCTTTCTGATGGACAGGAAGCAGCAGTTGAGGCTGGGGAAAACCACATCCAGCACCCGGACTATCAGCATAGGTGCTCCCCAGGGATGTGTGCTCTCTCCACTGTTGTTCTTCCTCTGTACCAACGACTGACACCTCAGGAGGCCCTTCTGTAAAAATCCTGAAGTTCGCAGAGGACATAACAGTCATCAGCCTCATCCAAGACGGTGACGAGTCGGCCTATAGATGGGGAAATTGAACAGCTGACCCTGTGGTGTGGTCATAACAACCTGGAGCTGAACATATTGAAAACAGTGGAAATGATAGTGGAATGGTTTGGCTCAGTAACCAAACAGAACAGGAACAGACTTCAACGGACAGTCAGGACTGCGGAAAAAAATCATTGGTGCCAGCCTGCCCTCCATGGAGGACCTGTACATGTCACGGGTCAAAAGGAGGGCAAAGAGGATCACTGCAGACCCCTCACACCCTGGACACGAACTCTTTGAACTCCCCTCTGGACGGCGCTACAGGTCTGTGTACGCCAGATCATCTAGACCACATGTGTCAAACTCAAGGCCCGCGGGCCACATCCGGCCCGCGACATCATTTTATATATGTTTTTTTTTTTTTTAATGGCCCGGCGATATAAAGCACCGATAAAACACAAACTACAAATCCCATAATGCAGCGCAACAGCTGCCTTACTGAACAATAGGCTACCTGCGATCATTCCCACGTCAATTACTTCAGATCAATCAAGCGTCTGTTGATGTATACAACCCTAATTTCAAGTCAAAGCTAGCCCCTAACAATGGCCAAGAGGAAAGTTGATTCTGAAAACAGAGCCTTTCAAAACCGTTGGGAGGCTGAGTATATATGTTTACTGACATTACCGGTAAACTTGTGTGTCTTATTTGTGGAGCTAATGTGGCTGTAATTAAGGAATATAACCTAAGACGACACTACGAGACAAAACATCAGGACAAGCTGAGAAACGTGAATGCAGAGCAGAAGCTACAGAAGGTAGAGGAGTTGAAGAGGAATCTGACATCACAGCAGACGTTTTCACCAAAGCCAAATCACACAGTGAAGCTGCTGTGAAAGCAAGTTTTATTGTGGAGAGGAGAAAATCAGCCCGGACATTTACCGAGGGAAAGTTTCTGAAGAGCTGCATGATGAAAGTGTGCGACGTCTTGTGTCCAGACAAAAAGCAGGTGTTTGCAAATGTAAGCCTTAGCAGAAATACAGTTGCTGACTTTAAGTTTAAGTTTATTTATTTTGGAATAATATTGTATCCTGTCTGTTTCGATTCATATTTATGTTCAAAAAACGTTTAGTTTTAGTCTGTTCAATAAATGTTTATCCTGTTCAGCCTGTGACCTAAGGTGTGCTTTGAGTTTTGGCCCCCTGTGTCATTGAGTTTGACACCCCTGGTCTAGACACAGAGACAGTTGCCTCCCCTGGGCCATTACACTCATGAACAGTAGTCAATGTTTTGCTCTTTTAACTAGTATATGTTCTGTTTTTATTGCTGTGCACATCAGGGGCTGTTGGGCTGGAGTCAAATTCCTTGTATTTTTGATGATACTTGGCAATAAAGTTTATGCTTATGCATTAACTGTGGCCCAAATTCGACAGTGAATAGCAGTGAATGCTCATGTTGACAATGTAAACAAGACTCTTCTTCCTGTGTAGGTCCATGTTTCAAACATCCCCCATACATGATTAGTTAACGCAAAGGCAGTGTGGCAAAGATTGAACCAGATCCAACTTTTCGGTCACATGGGGTTGTCATTTTTCTGGAGCCCCCTGTGGTGCTGGTGCCGGCTGCGGTAAACACAATCCCCCACCTGAAGAGGGCCATGTTTTTTCATGCCTTTGAAACTCATTCTGAACATGGCCTTATCCTTGTTTGGCTAGAGTGCATTCAAAGGTCAAACTGTCTGTAATGCTTCATGGTTGCATTGACACTTCTCTCATTGACCATTTTGATATCCAGTGCTATTAATATCCAGCATGTAATTGGGGTCAAAGACTTTAAAAATACATCTCTCCTGTGGTATCTATTTTGATGAAATATCCTGTATTTTTACCTCTAACCAATCTTTCTGTCTCATCCTCCTCAGTGTGACCCACCCATTGAGGTCCATGACCTTTTTCAGGACATCCAGGATGGACGCATCCTCATGGCCTTGCTGGAGGAGCTCTCTGGCTCCAAGCTGGTCGGACTTTTTGTTTCTAATGCCACATTTTTCATACATGTACCTGTACAGTATTATGTATAAAAATCACATTAGGAGCTCACATGGCACAATTGGTTGTAGCAGTAGGTGTTGTTGAATAAGCAGCATTTATTACATTTGATTAAAATTTTTTATTCTGAATCGCCTTCCAGCTTCATGGGTTCAAGAAGTCCTCCCATCGTATTTTCAGACTCAACAACATCGCAAAGGCCCTCTCTTTCCTTGAAGAGCGAAACGTAAGTTCCACAGTCTTACTACCTACACTCACCGGTCCCTTTATTAGGTACACCTGTACAATTGTATGCAGTTCAATACAACACTTCCACCTTAACATCTGTGTTTATGAAGCTCAAAATGTTTTGGTCATTGGCGAACTTGCCATATATGTATGCATTTAATTATATGTTTATTATTGGGTTCACAGTTAAAGATGATGTTGTACTGGACTCCATTATGTTCAGAGGTGTTCCTAATATTTTGCCGCTCATGTATGTAGCTGGGCAGGACAAAAATAAAGAGACACCTCTTAAAATGTGTTTATGTGGGTGGGGATGAAGACTCAAGATGCAAGTGAGGGAAATGTGGATGCAATTTGGGTTTCATCACTTCCTTTATTTGATCATTCCTTGCTCAAGGACTGACATCACCTTTTAAAAACTCAGACAGCTCCGGTGCATTTAAGTAACAAAGCAGCAGCTGAATTGACTTGAGTCGGTTGAAGAGCCGGGCTAGGTGCCACACCAATCAAGACCTTTTGAGCAGACAAAGTGGACAAAATCTTAATGCCAGTTACACTTTGACAACTACACATGGTTTCTGCATACACGGGTGGTTAAACTCATGGGGTGTGTGTTGGCTGTGGCCATAACACACAGCCAGTTACCTGTGATACTGTTTGATTAATGGCTGAATTGTTGACGCATGTGGAATGTGCATGTTCTCAGGTAAAGCTGGTCAGTATTGATGCAGCTGATGTTGCTGATGGAAACTCCTCCATCATCCTTGGTCTCATCTGGAACATCATCCTCTTCTTTCAGGTAATCCCATTTACTCTGTTCTCTTATTTAAACTCCTTCATCCACTTTCATTGGTACTTTGAGTTTCCATTTCCCCTCTTTTCCTCTGACTCTCTTTTCACTCAAAAAGAGGTTAAGTATAAAAATAAAGTGTGTATTCACAGTCTGTGCCCGTTCTATTCACAAAAGCCCATTAAAATGCAGTTCACTGGGTAGTTTATGTAATCCACTCTGCAGTACAGTGTCTTGAACGGAAACAACTATTTCCACAATTCTGGTCATTCTGCCAAGGTACGCTAGGCTTCTTTGATGGCATTTTACAGAGGTGTGGTCTTTAAACTGGTCAGAGGAGCTGATGAGCAACTTCACTATTTAAATGGTCTTATACGTGCACAGCGCTTTCTTATATGTTGCAGTACAGTCAAAGCACTTTCACACTATTTGGCCATTCGCACTCACACATTCACACACAGTCAGTGTCTTGCTCATGGACACTTCAACATGTGGATTGGACAAGCCTTCAGAACTTCAGTTTTGTCAGAGTTTAGAAGTAAGAAATTACAGGACATCCAAGCCTTTATGTCTTTAAGAACTAAGAGGATATCGTTGGTGACTTTCACCAGTGCAGTTTCTGTACCATGATTGATTCTAAAACCAGAATAAAAATCTACAAACAAATCATTCTTGTGGAACTGGTCACATAAGTGCTTTGCAACAGCTTTTTCAAGGATTTTAGAAATAAACGGTCTATGCATATCGGTCTATAATTAGCTAGATCACCTGCGTCAAGAGTAGGCTTTTTGAGTAGAGGTTTAATTACAGCAACCTTAAAAGTCTGCGGAACATAGCCTGTTAATAGAGAGGTTGATCAGATCTAATATGGACGTGTTGATTAGGGGCAAGACGTCTTTGAGCAGCCTGGACATTGTTGATGTCAACTCAGAGAGATCTATGGGAGATACGTAGTCCAAATATGTTTCTAAAGCCATTGTAGTAGATTGCATGTCCGTGAGAGACTCAGAGTAAGGCTTTCAAATTAGTTAAATGGATAGACATAGAAATATGGTGGCGTGTATGCACACAGCGGCTCGGGGCTCTCGGCTTTTTGTTTTTTTATGTGTACTTTTGTTCATGTTTTTGTTGTCACCACAGTTTTCTGAAGCCACCATCCAGTATGGAGCTGAACTACTTATTATTGGGAAGCAATACGAACTTTACGCATCCACAAACCGGGCTTTATTTACACCGGACCACTACGGCTCTCACCATCCCCCCTTTGTGGCCTAGGAGACGGAGGTGACACCGTAAACAAAAGCGGGGTAAGAGGAGTGGCCTGCGCGCTAGGCTACATGCTAACCCACACAGGCCGGCGCTTCCTAGTTTCTTCCTCACAAACACCAGGTCATTAACCAACAAAATAGATGAGATTCGGCTGCGGATCGTCTCACGGAGGATCGACAGCTGTGTGGCAATTATAACTGAAACCTGGTTGGATGACAACATCCTGGATGCTGCGTTGGAGCTGGAGGGACGCTCCTTGTTTTGAGCAGACAGGACTGCAGCATCTGCTAAACAGAGAGGCGGAGGTCTGGCGCTGTACATCTACAACTTCTGGTGCACAGCTACGAGTATCATTGGAACACACTGCTCCCCTGACTTGAAATATCTGGCAGTGAAATGCAAACCTTTTAAAACGGTGACAGAGATTTGCTCAGTCCTGAAAGTCTGATTGTAGCTATCTATATACCACCGCGAGCTAATGCTAAATTAGCGCTGGAGGAGCTGTACTGCCTGATCAGCAGGCCGGCCATAGAAGCTCCACAGCTGGGCATGTCAGGTCACATCTCTGTGGAGCTGATCCCAGCATATAAACCTCTGATCTGCAGGACAAAACCAATCACTAAAACAGTTAAGGTGTGGACGGAGGAGGCCTCTTCAGCATTACAGGACTGTTTTGACACACTGACTTGGGGGTGATCAAAGAGGGCTCAGACTTGGAGGCTTATACATCAGCTGTTCTGGACAGCAGTTCTTTACTGATGCTGTCCTACCTACAAAGTCCATCAGGGTTTTTCCAAACCAGAAACCATGGTTGGACAGTACAGTGTAACCTGTGCTCAAAGCTCAGGACGCTGCCTTCACATCAGGTGACAGGCTGGCTTATAGCAGGGCCTGGAAAGAACTAAAGAAGGGCATCCGGCTGGCCAAAAGCAGGTACAAACAGCGCATTGAGGGGCACTTCATGAATAACAACACACAGAGTATGTGGAGAGGCATCAAAACAATAACAGACTACAGAGGCAACAACCAGCAGGTTAGACATGATCCCACCCTCCCTGACACTCTGAATAGTTTCTTTGCATGCTTCGATACACTTGGCAGCAGAGGAACTGTACAACTCCCTCAGCTGGAGGTGAGGAACAGCACCAGCCGCTTGTCCTGCAGGTACACCAGGTGAGCTCCACCCTGGGGAGGATCGACACCAACAAAGCTGCAGGACCAGACAGAGTGTCACGCCAGGTTTTGAAGCTATGTGCTGACCAACTGGCAGGAGTTTTCTTGAACATTTTTAACCTGTCCCTGCATCTTGCTTCAGTCCCTGTGTGCCTCAAGTCCTCCATCATTGTGCCTGTGCCCAAGAAATCAGCTGTCACCTGTCTCAATGATTACCGCCCTGTTGCTCTGACACCAGTAATCATGAAGTGCTTTGAGAGGATCGATCAACAGAGGATGCTGTCTCAATAGCACTACACACAGCCCTGTCCCACCTGGAGCATCCTAATACTTATGTCAGGATGCTAGTTGTTGACTTCAGTTCGGCATTTAACACTGTAATCCCAGAGAAACTGGTACAATGAAACTGGTACTGCACAATCTGGGAATGCCTGCAATGATGTGTCATTGGATTAAGGACTTCCTCACTAACAGGCCTCAAGTGGTGAGAATCGGAAGCTGCACATCATCCACACTGGTCCTGAACACAGACACACCACAGGGCTGTGTGCTCAGTCCAGTTCTCTTCACTCTGTTTACCGATGACTGTGATGCCATTCACTCCACAAACACAGTAGTAAAGTTCACGGACAACACCACCATAGTGGATCTTATCTCAGACAATGATGAGACTCACTACAGAGAGGAGATCCAGCACCTGACAAGGTGGTGTTCAGATAACAATCTTGTCTTGAACATCAACAAGACTAAGGAGGTTATTGTGGATTATAGGAGGTCCAGGAAGACAAAACATGCTCCTCTTCTCATACACGGGGAGGTGGTGGAGCGAGTGGATAACATCAAGTTCCTGGGCATCCACATCACATCTGACCTGACCTGGTTTCTGAAGACATCCTACCTGGTGAAGAAAGCCCAGCAAAAGCTTTTCTTCCTCAGGAAGCTGAAACGCGCTGGTCTCTCCCCTCAGTTGCTCGCAAACTTCTACAGAGCAACAGTAGAGAGCATCCTCTGTCTCAGTGCGACAGTGTAGTACGGGAGCTGCACTGCACAGGACAGAAAGGACTTGACCCGGGTGGTGAGAACAGCTCAGGGCATTGTAGGGAGTCCTCTTCTGGATCTAGACTCACTATACAATGACCAGATCCAGAGGAGGGCTGGACAGATTGCTGCAGACCCCACCCACCCGGGCAACAGTCTGTTTGTGCCTCTTCCCTCCAGGAAAAGGTACAGGAATATAAAGACTAAAACAAACAGACTGAGACACAGCTTCTTCCCCAGAGCTGTGAAATCAATCACCCACCCAACCCCCAGTCACACACACAGCCTCCCCCCTATGCACAGATACAGACAGAATACTGGACCTCTGCAGACACACACCCATGCTCACACCTCTTCCTAAAGACTGAGATTTGCACTGAGCTGCACCTTATAATGTTACTACACTCTTGCTGCTGTATAGCCCTTTAATTTGTTCATATTTTATATTGACTTATACAGTTTTGTGTTATGTAAATAATGTGTCTTTTAAACCAAGAGCTGCCAGAAAAAAATTCCTTGTGCTATGCATAATGACAATAAAGATTATTGACTCTTTACTTGACTTGATGAAACTGTTGTAGCAGGTGAGCTAACCATTACCGAATCTGTTGATGATTTTAAAAAACAGCTGAAGTCACATTTATTTAGACAGTTTTTTAATTGATTGGGTTTATTCATTTTATTTTGTGAGCACTTTTTATGTATATTATTTATCTCTTTTTATCCTTTGACTTTGTAAAGCACCTTGTGACTCTGTCTGTGAAAGGTGCTATATAAATAAAATTTACTTACTTACTTACTTACCTTATTAGCCAGCCTAGCTGGGCTAGTGCTAGTCAGTCACAGTATCTCTAAAATGTCTTTCTATTTTCGGTCTCCTGTTCTGTTTATTACCCTCTGGCATTTAGTTCACTATTGTACACTATTTGGTTCAATTAAAGTAATTGAACAAGAAAAATAAAACTCTCCAAGCTGATGGCTCACAAGCTGGGTAGTTCATTGGCTTAGTTCAGTCACCAGACTCATAGCATCTGTCAGTATTTTGCACCATTCTTTTCTTGTGCAGAATGGAAAGCACCGTTCCTCTCATTAAACTGAACACAACAAGAGACAGAATAAAAAAAGAAACAAAAGCTGTGCAGCAGAGACTGATTGATCTTATGTTTATTCCTCGGTATGGGTTCAAGTATGTCTTTCTTAATGTTACCAGTTTAGATAGGCCTTCCCAGCCTTGTAAATGCTCTCATGTTTTAAATCTTATGTCTTTTGCTAGCCAGTTTCTGAAAAAAGGTAGTTTCCTGTGTGTATCTTACAAAATTTGTTTGTAATGGCAGGTTATTGCTTCTTTACAGGTGAAACTCTGCATTAACATGTTAGAACTACATTTATGTTTTGCTGTGAACAACTACAGACTGATGAATATACTTGGACCTAGTTACAGTATACACACTCACGCCACTTTATTAGGTACACCTGTAGAGTTCTATGCAGTTCAGTCCAACATTTTGGCCTTAACATCTGTGTTCATGAAGCTCAGAGGTGTTCCTAATATTCTGACCCTCTCATGTATGTAGTTGGGGAGGATAAAAATATATGGACAATTCTGAATATAATGTAGTCTATTAAACATAGAATTGAATTTATACATTTTATGACAATTTCACCAAAACCTGTAACATTCTGAGCTTCATAAACACAAATGTTAAGACTGAAATGTTGCATTGCAGTGCATACAATTGTAGAGGTGTACCTAATAAAGTGGCCAGGGAGTGTATTAATCCCCTGTGAGAAACCCAAACCCTGCCACAATCAAAAGAAAGCTGCTTGAAGAACATTAACATTTCCCTTAAGTATGTTACTAAACAACAAGGCAATGCCAAGACACGTTTCTTTATCAAAAATCAGTTTATTGGTTGATGAAGGATCACAGGACAGGACATCTAATTTTTCTAAAATTGTGTTTCCTTGATTCCTCTCTCCTTGCATTGTTTTCCTTGCATCTTTCTTTGCATCTTATGTGGGCGGGACTAAGATACCAGGGAAAGACACAAAGTGTGAGACAAACATGGATGCATGTGAGAGACCTGGGATGTGCCCCTCTGTCTTCCCCCAGATTAAGGAGCTGACTGGGAACATCAGGAGCCAGTTCCCCTCCTCCACCAGCCTATCATCCATTCCCACCAGCGTGTCTGACTCAGACACATCCCACTGCAGCACCCCACCAGAGTCATCACAGTCAGCGTCTACAGCCATGCGAGAGAACAACAAGGCTATCAGGAAACTGCTGCAGTGGGTACAGAAGCGTACACGCAAGTGAGTGTGGGCTGCCATTTTGGAAGAATTTCTTAGTATTCTGTTGAGTTTTTCTTTTTTTAGTGAATATATGGTATATTCATTTCATTCACAGCCCTGCTGACTCGCACACAATACTTGAAATATCTGCTTTCAGAAATGTTGTCACTTTGTCCAAACAAATGCAAAATGTAGGCCATGACATGGCAGCAGGGTCCATGAGAGAGGGGCTGTGCACAATTTACCCATGTTGCTTTTAGGACTTGACAGGGCTTTGCAGAGGAGAATTCTAAGAGTTGTCACACAAATTACCAAAGATAAATGCATAAAAAAATCCATTTAGTTAGTTAGATTTAAGTTGAGATGCTTTCTCATTACCAAAGCAGTGGAGGTGAATGGAATTGAAATTTTTCTACAGTATTAAAATAATGACATTTGGAAGATTCTGCAGCAACATCTTTGCAGAGACAGTGCCATCATTACTCTGGACAATCTAGTAAAAACAATAGTCCCTACCAAACTATCAGCCACGTGGTCTGTGAACATCCCTGTTGTCATAGGTATGGTGTGGCAGTTCAGGACTTTGGGAAGAGCTGGACAAGTGGTCTGGCCTTCCTGGCTGTCATCAAGTCCATTGACCCCAGCCTGGTAGACATGAGGAAGGCCCTGCTGAGAAGTGCCAGGGAGAATCTGGAGGATGCCTTCAGGATAGCCCACTACAGCCTGGGTATCCCACGCCTCCTGGAACCTGAAGGTACCAAGAAATAGCTGTGTATAAATAGCAGCCTAATCTGGTTACAGCCCCTTTTGACCTATATTATCATGACGAACCTATTTAGTGCAGCATTTCTATATAATAAATTAGTAATGCTCTGACAGAAGGGAAACCAGGACCAGTCCCAGTAGTAATCAACATCAAAATGTTTCCACAATGTTTGAGTATTTGCTTAAGGGTTAAAACCAAAACTGAAAGGTGTTGCCATGGCCTAGCAACCTGTATAACCTATGTGTAAGCAAGACCTTCTCAACAAGTTTCTTATCATTAGATCATTAACTATAACCAGGTCATTCTAGCACATTTGTAACAGTTGTGTGTGTGCCACCAAAACGAGGCTGCAGAGTAAGCAGCCCAAGAGTGATGCACTATGTACATGGTTATTCTTGCTTGAAATTCATGTTGTACATCTACATGAAACTACAGGGACCTTCTTAAGCCTAAATGAAGCAGAGACATGTTTTGAGTTGTCTCTCATTAGCTAATGCCACACAAGTATCAGCTACCTACATATTCTTAAGCAGTGTAACATGCAGTCTGGTCCCATAGTAACTACTTTCTACTACTGTTTTATAGCTATGTTAAGACATATCTCTTTCAGTTAAATTGTGAAAGGCAAAAATAAATTTAAACCAGTTTATTAGTATTTTCTTACTGTATGTGAACAGTGTTGTCCAACCTTACCAGATGTCCTGTACATAACCCTCTCGGTAACACTGCTGGACCATTTTGCATGGCACTGCAGTTTTTCTGCATAATTTGGAATTTGGTATGCAAGAAGTGGTGAAAATGTCCCGTTCTCTTCCCACCACCAGTCTCATATTTTGCCCTATGTATTTTGATTTCAGGTTATTCATTGTGAAATGCACAGTTTTGCTGCCTTTTTCAAACATCCCATCAGTGCCCAAGCAACCACACATACTGTACTTAACTTAAGTTCTTGCCATGTGTGTGCACTGTGTGGTGTTGCACTGTGTGTGGGACAGAGTGGCCCCCCCACCCCTCGCAGACAGACTCCGAGAGACAGATCAGTCTTCTGGATTGGGAAAAGTGAAAATGCATCATGATTATATTAATTAGAAGTGGAGTTTGTGCAAGATAACCTTGATGTCGCAATAATAAACAATGAACATCTGTTTCCTTAGCTTCTCCAGCACCGATAGTAGAACCGATAGCATTGAGGGTTATTGATCTACAGTATTTAATAATTTATTACCGTGTTTGTTTAATGCCAGGATTCAGTACCCAAAGTTTAAGTCTGAAAGGCCTTTCTATGAAATGTCAGTGTGGTTAATTGTTGTTTATCTGCCCAGATGTGACCATCAACACACCAGATGAGCAGTGCATCATAACATACGTGTCACAGTTCTTGGAGCATTTCCCTGGCATAGAGGTAGGAATCCCTGCTTACAGTGCATGGATGACTTATTTCAGACATCAAATTTTGAATGTGAGCACTAATAGGTTTCTGACAACCTCTTTGTTTCTGTTTCAGTCAGAGGAGCCCCGACATCTTATTGAACAAAGCGTCTCTATGGGCCGACTCAACTTTCTTGACAGTGACTGTGACCACATAAGGAAGGGCGCTTATCGAAGCAGAGTGAAAGAGAGGTCTTATATGTTCCAGAGGGATTCTAACCAGCCCCCGCCCAAAATCTTGATTTCCTCTATGTCAGAGGACAGGAGTGTAATGTCCCCTCTTTGTAGGCTGGCTCCAGCTCGTTTGTGGTCTAGTGAAGACTTAGCAGATTCCCCCCATGTGGAGGACATCTCCAGCAGTGTGGTTGAAGACCCCCAGGAACCTGTCAGGGAGGTTTTAACCAACTCAGGCTCCAAATCCACACAGCTGTCTTACACTCCCTCACCCACTGGCTCCTCAGTGCCTGAGTCAGTAGTCGGTGACTCAGCAATCAACTCACCAGATTCCTGGGTGGAAAGTGAGGTTGGGGTGATGCCAGAGAAACTTAGTGAGAGTCAAAGTGATAGTTCTTTGTGTGACAGTGGAACTGCCTGGGATGTGTACCGTGCCACCCCTGTGGAGGTTACTGCGCTTGATGAAGGATTTGTCCCGTCCATAGAAGATAAAGCCCCCGATGAGCAGTCGATTACTGAGTCATATATCGATGAAGGGATTTACTCACTGAGCTCATTGGAGAGCACCCAATGCCAAGGGCATTCTGAGAAAAAGTACGCAGAAGCAGTGAAAGGGATAAAGACAGACTTTGAGAACTACGGCCAATACACAGCACTAGAACAGATAACTGGTCAGAGCAGTGTTGGTTTTATAGAAGAAGCAGACTGTAAACAGAAGGATACAAGTCTACTTGAAAAAGATGAAGTACCCAGAAAGCAAAAGGCTAAGTCCCAGCTAAGTTCCAGCAATGAGCAGCCATCCTCTGGCCATTTTGAAGAACTCATGATGCAAACAAGTGTTGAAGAGAGCATTGACAAAGAACCTGAATGTTTAAAGAGTACCGTGGATTTCGCCAAGGATGCACAGGGCTATGAAGGACAAAGTAATGGGCAAATTCAAAGTCTAAATGAAAAAAATAACTCTGAAGGGGCTGAAGAGGAAAATGAATGTCAGAAAACAGACCCTTCTTTAGAGGACAAGAGAGTGGACCGAAGAGATAAGTCAGGGATTTTACAGGAAAAGGATGAAGTGGTTCTAGAAACACATGATGAAGCCAGTGAAGGAGGCCACTCAGTTCCACAAGAAAGCATCAGAACAAAAACTAGTGATGCTTTAGCAAACATGCATGTAATCAACCAAGAGGGAGCATCAAGCACATGCTCGGAACCAAGTATGGGGATGAGAATTCCTCTGATCTCCATCTCCAGTGAGCCGGAAGAGCAGAACAAAGAGGGAACATGTGATCCAGAAAGAGAAGCTCATGCTGGGGATGAAGAGGTACACCACACAGAGGCAAGTGGAAGCGACAGAACTGACACAAACGTCAACAGACCTCAAAGGCCAGATGAACTGAGTTGTGACTCTGGAGACAATGATGGCAAAAATCCTTCCTGCCTAATATCAGAAAATGTTAAACCACCAGCTTCAGAGCAAACAGGGGATGTGGAAAATGTGCCTTTTGATGAAACAGATGAACATGACAGGAATTGTTCAAATGAAGACACTTGTGTTCCATATGCAACTGATAACATGGAAATAAGTGAAGCCATACAGGAATGTAAGTTTCTTCACGACATGTCTCAGACAGGCAACACTGACAAGGACTTCACAGCTCAGACATCAACAGATGCCAAAAAAAGAAAACCTCAGTAACACCTTTTTTCAAAAGGCGGCAGCCAATGTACAGCAGAGCGCACTGGATCCAGTCAATCTGGAATTGAATGGTAAGACAGGGATTGTGTGTTATGACCCAGCTAGCATGTCCAGAAACACGGACATGTTTTATACAGACTTTGATCAAAGTTCTCCCACAGATGATCTAGTTGGCGACCCTATTGAACCCATGGATCTGTTCTATCCTGACAAAGAGGACCCCATGTTTCCAGAGCCACTCGACACTGAAATGCAGAGTTGGCCTTCTGTTTTGAGTGTATCCGCGCTACAGCCCGCACCAGCTTCACAGCCTCTGCTAGACGATCAGCCACTCCGGCTGCTGGGTGACGAAGAGAATGACAAGGTAAATGGAAGCTTATTTAACAGTGATTCAGTAAGTCCAACAGTTTCACTTTTTAATTATATTGAAATGAATTTTTGAATAGATACCTTTGAGCCTTAGATGATGAATTCAAACAAATTGCTATTTATATATTTCATCTGTTTTGATAAAAATGTTTTTGATCTGTTGTGTTTACACCTGGCACCACCATCAGGTCAAAGCTTCAGTTTGTCCAATACTTAAGTCTACAACTAAATATGTCTAAAGGTAATCACACTCTTACTGGGCGTCATAGAAAAACACTGCCTTCACACTGCCTGTGTGTATGTGTGTGTGTGTGTGTCTGATCACCCAGCTGCCCAAACTGGATCATGAAGCAATGTGACATTTCACACTTTGACAGTATAACAGCTAACAAGCAGATGAGCCACTGCCATTCATCATTCACAGTCACACCACTGTGTTCGTGCTATTTGTCTCTGTTATTGTGAATTACGTATTGGAAGAACAGTTTAGACAGCTAAACAGTGAATACTGCATGGAGACTTTACATTGGATTTCTAAGCACTAGCAAGATATCATGACAACACACAGAAACGGGGACAATTATTTAAACTCCAGTTTTTTTTTGTCATTTGAGTCCAAAGTTTTATTTGTATTTTTGACAAGATTAAAGTCCCATAATTTAAAAATATATATATTCACAGCCATTAAAGATGGCATTGTGGTAAAATCTACCTAGTTTTTTTTTTATAGCAATAAGATTATATGTAGAGATGATAAACAATAACTTTAATTTGTCACACGGTACAAGTTGTGGAGTTTTGTCTACAGAGGACTGGGAGAATAGCTGAATACACACATCAGACTACAGTTATAACACTGTGCTAGATTAACAGTTATCAGGAGAAGGTTTTTTTCTGCTTATTTCTCCTTAAAGAGCGTCCTGAGTGCGCTTCAAACAAAGCTGGCTGTATATTGTGTCATCTGACCAAGGCAACAGAGTTTACAGTGTATTAATGCAGATATGCTTCCACAAACCTGGACACAGTTAGTCAGAAAGTTACAAATATTGTCTGATCCAGCACTCTTGATTCTGTTGTCTGCAACAAGGGTTGTCAGAGTTTAGAGGATATAGCTAACACGTTTATAGCAGACTGAAACCTAAATAGCCAAAATCCCTCAAAGCATTCACTAGAGGCAGGACTGTGTTTATAGTGTACCATAAAATATAAACATGCTGTACACACAATGACAGCAATGACAAATAATATTTTGGCCTGAGGATGCTACCAAGAGAAAGCTCATAATGTCCCAAATGAAAAGCTTTTATTTGCCCAGGAACATGAATATACTCAATAGGTTTAATGGCAATCAGCCCATTAAAACTAAGTTTAGGCCTGAAGGTAATGCTAGAGAAAAGGTCCACCAAAACATTGGGATTCATCCTCTGGGGACCCTGAAACCATTCTTTAATAGATTTACATCTATTACTGTCCCTGTCGCCTCAGCCGGCAGACAGCCACCCTGACATTATTCTGTAGAATTCAGATCACATTTTGTGACCAAGTCATTTAAAAAAACCAGGAAATTCCAAATGGTTCACATACTTTTTCTTGTCACCGTACATTGCTGTGGGCTTCTTGCAAGTTGTAGAAATGTCCTGCCTTGGAGCTACGAGCTCATAAGTGACTGATTGCTGACCCACACACTGTTTCCATACTAAGCCAGCCTTGCAAGTAGGACAACAACTTGCAAAGATACACTAAGCTCATGTATGTTACTAAGCAGGCAACTAAGATTTCTCTCTCTCTCTCTGTGTTTCTCTTATTAGGTGATGATTAAAACAAACCAGGAGCAAGACAAAGTATCTGAACCTCAGGAGCAGTGTTTGTTGCCCAGGGAGAAGAGAGGAGGGTTCTGGGGTGATGATGTTACAGCAGATGGCGGTGATCCCAGTGAGGCTGAGCCACAGAGCCCTGGCTCTGCCAGAGAAAACACAGAGTCTGGGAGGTAGGCTTTCTATTCTTAGCCACGTCCCTGGTACACTGAGAAACGGACTTGACCCAGGGGGAAAGCAGTGTTATGGCAACGGATGGGACTGCTCTGACCCAGCCTCTCTCAGTTTGTGCAAATTTTTCCTTAAATGTACCGAGCAAGGTTATCCATGTGGGCTGGTGATGGACATAAAGACAGGCCTTATCAGGGTTGAAAGACTGTGGCTTGAAGAATGGGATGATAATTACAACATGATTCGGTTCATCAGTGGAATTAGTTATAATCCTCAGACCTTCATATATCACATGCCTTTTTGATACTATCTACAGTCTGCATTTTGTATCAGTAGCTGTTGACATGAATTTACATTCTTTTTATTGCAGTTTTTTTTTTTGGTACTAACAGTGTTTTGTGTGTAACTCCCCATTTACACACAAGGGATTCAAAAGAAATAATGTTTACATGACAACACACATTTGTTACAGTGTTGAAGACAATATTTAGTCAAAGATTTGACCAAAAGCACTTTATTATCATCAGTTTACTCATGTCATCTGATGAGTTCATAATGGCTATTTCATGCTATTTGCTCCAGCTGGCTGCCAACTCAGAATAAAAATATTTGCAACAAAGTAAAAAAGGAAAGTAAAAAAAAACAACCTTGATGATTTCAATTTACATACTGTAGCACAATGTTATGTTTCACAACCCTCAACAATGTTTTGAATATACTCCATGCTTTGAATTTGCCCCATAGTTTCCCCTCTACACTTGGACTTTTGCCTCCATGTTTCTGTAATTACTTTTAAAGTAGGTAGTCAGTTTTCTCAGTAGAAAATATCCTTTTTATCCAAAAATTCAAGAGGATTTATACCTAATACATGTTATTATGTATAAGACAGTTTTCACCCTCATTCTCACAAAATGCAGAGGAACCAGATGAATCCCATTAAAATATTGTGACATACAGTATAAGCTTCAAACATATTCTCTCCACAAGAGTGAGGGGTTGTTTTATGTGTCCCAGTACAAAGGATAAGTATTAGTTACATAGATTTCAAGTTGTTCTCCCATCTTTGCTTTGCTCTTTGAAACAGTTTCTTCCTTTTTACCACAGTCTTCCAAAATTTTCTTTATTTTAGATTATTATTGACACAACACAGTCTTTCAGGTGAAATTTGGTAATTCAGTAATTCTATGGCTATATGTCTTATTGTAACAATGTCATGTGTTGTAACGGCACACAGTTTTTATTCTGTAGACAGGTGCACCAGTTGCTCCTTCCCTGTTGTATTTCTGACAGAGTAGCTGGTCAGAATGGGTTTGTTGCCCCAGTGGGAATACACATGATGCTGAACAAAAACTATATCAGCTGTATTATTAAAATATGTTTGACAATACCAACAACAGCTGCAGGTGTCACCAGATCAACCAGGTGCTCTGAAAGTTCTGATAAACCCACTGAACTCACCTGTTCAACATCAAACATAGAGGAGAATTTCCCGCTGGAGACATTTAAAAGGACTGAATAGGACTGTTTCTGCTGGATGTGCAAATGGGCAGTAGGCTGCTAACATGTTAGCCATATCAATACATTATTGCAACTTTAAAGATTAAACATTTAAGAGGAAAAATGAGGTTTTGAAACCTGAAGTTAGAAGTTATAGAAAAGGGACACGGAAGATCATCGTTGAAACTGACCTTTGTACATTAGCTTTGAAAAAGTAGCTTTTTTGTGTCACATCATTCTTATAGTTTAAATTAGATATACAGTAGTTTCAGTGACTGAAGAAGTGTGGAAATGTGCAAGTATTCATAATGGCTTCTACTGCTTCATTTTCTGGGTCTGTTCTCTGCTGTTGAGACCAATCTAATAGATTTTGTCTTTTCAGCAGTAACACTAAAAGTTCTAGCAGACAAGATGAAGGCCAGTTCCCTCCAGTCCTCCGTCACAGAAAAGGGGCTCATTTCACTGAGTTCATGGTGAGTTTGATCCTTCATTTCCTTCTCTATGGATATAAAACTATCCTTGGATAATTAATATTTCTGGTTCTGTACTATGACATTATGTGTCTGGTATTTTTTCCCCACTTGCAGGACAATCAGAGAGCTGTGACTACAGTGATCAGAAGAGCTGATGTCGAATCAGATTTTTGGTAAGAACTTTTCCCCCTTGCTCTGGTTACCTTATATGTCTTACACTTGAGTGTTCCTGCTGCTATTACTTTGACTGACTCCTCTACCTTCTACAGATGGCTGAGAAATTAAAGAAAAAACAATATAAAGGTCTTAATAAGGTGTTGGGCCACTATGTGCTGCCAGAACAGCTTCAGAGAGCCTACAAGAGTCTGAGCTTTACTAGACCATGTGGTTTACTGCATGTATTCAAGCATAAGCATAAACCTTATTGCTGAGTATTATCAAAAATACAAGGAATTTGACTCCAGCCCAGTGGTCCCTGATGTACAAAGCAGTATAAAAACTGAGTAAAACCAAAACCACAAGTAAAAAAAAAAAAAAACAAAAATGTACACACATACATAGATACAAGGTAAAAGAGGTAGAGTAGATTTTCATAAGTGTGATGGCCCGGGGAAGAAACTGTCTCTGTATCTAGATGATCTGGCGTACAGGGATGTGTAGCACCATCTAGAGGAGA